AGAGATTAAAAATGTCCACTGGACTTTCAAAAAAATTGACACCTAAGACACCACAAGGCTTATCAGTTCTCTCAATTAATGTGAATGGTTTAAATTATCCTCTAAAGAGGCACTGGTTGGCAGACTGGATACATAAACTCAGACCGGATATCTGCTACATACAAAAATCTCATCTTACCTTAAAGGATAAAAATAGACTCAGGGTGAAGAGATGGTCATCTATAATTCAGGCAAACAGAAATCATAAAAAAGCAGGGGTTGCAGTTTTATTTGCAGATACAATAGGCTTTAAATCAACAAAGGTTGAAAGATAAAGATGGTCACTACATATTTGTCAAGGGAAACACTCAACATGAAGAGATTTCAATTTTTAACATTTGTGTGCCCAACCAGAATGCTCCAAAATTGATAAGGGAGACCCAAACAGACATGAGCAATTTAATATCTTCCTGACACTGCCCGACTGGCGGGCGATGTCGGGGAGTTTGTGATCAGTGTATGAGAGGGAGAGGGAAAGGGTGGACACAATCACACAACCACTCATACAGTATAGGAAGAAGGCTGAGCCGAAGCTGTTTATTAGGGATCGCTACAATCTTATATAGGGTTAGTTGAGGGGGCGTGGTTACTTTATGAAGCTGAATCTATATAAGGCTAGGAATGTTGTCTTTGGCCTATGATAGGTTTAAAATGTGAGGGGAGGATGGAGGGGTTATGCTGTTCTGACGGGAGGGGCCCTGCGCTGTGCTCTGCGTTTCAGTCTAAATAAGGAAAGGCTTATACAATGTAGCTAGTTCTATCCGGTTTTCTTACCAGTACTGGTCTTTTCATCCGGCCTTTTCACGTGGGGGTTGAATTAGCCTAGCACTTCCTCTTACAATGTAGTTTAATATTTCTGTTAACCCTTACATCTTCCAGCACCACAATAGTCAGAGATTTTAACACCCCTTTGGCAGTAGATAGATCCTCCAAGAACAAACTAAGCAAAGAAATTTTAGACTTAAATCTGACCCTAGAACTAATGGACTTAGCAGACATCTACAGAACATGTCATCACAATAAAACTGAATACACATTCTTCTCATCAGCCCATGGAATGTCCTCCAAAATTGATCACATCTTAGGTCACAAGTCTAACCTCAGCAAATTTGAAAGAAAAGAAATTATTCCTTGTATTTTCTCAGGCCATCACAGAATAAAAGTTGAACTTAATAACTACTCAAATCTTCATATTCCTACAAAGACATGGAAGCTAAATAATTTTATGCTGAATGATAGCTGGGTCATAGATGAGATTATGAAGGAAATTTTTGGAACAAAATGATAATGAAGACATAACTTATCAGAACCTGTGGGATACTGCAAAGGCAGTCCTCAGAGGGAAATTTGTAGCAATGCAAGACTTCCTCAGGAGAACAGAAAGAGAGGAAGTCAACAACTTAATGGGACATCTGAAGCAACTGGAAAAGGAAGAACATTCCAACCCCAAACCCAGCAGAAGAAAACAACCAAAATTAGAGCAGAATTAAATAAAATTGAAAACAAAAGAATCATTCAACAGATTAATGAATCAAAAAGTTGATTTTTTGAACAGATTAATAAAATTGTTAAACCTTTGGCTAACCTAACCAGAACAGAAAAGTAAAATCCCTAATATCTTCAATCACAAATGACAAAGGCTAAATAACAACAGACACCTCAGAAATTTAAAGAATCCTTGATAAATACTATAGAAAACTCTATTCTCAGAAATATGAAAATTTGAAGGAAATAGACCAATACCTGGAAGCATACCATCTTCCCTAGATGCAGCAAGAAAGAATTGGAAATGTTGGATAGACCTATATCAAGTACTGAAATAGCATCAACTATATAAAAATCTCCCAAAAACGAAAAGTCTGGGACCAGATGGCTTCACATCAGAATTCTACCAAACCTTTAAAGAGGAACTAATACTTATATTACATACTCTTTTCCAAGAAATAGAAAAAGAGGTACTACTTCCCAAATCATTCTACAAAGCAAATATCACCCTGATCCCCAAACCAGGAAAAGACCCAACAAGGAAAGAAAATTATAGGCCAACTTCTTAGTGAATATAGATGCAGAAATATTCAATAAGATCCTAGCAAACAGAATCCAACAACACATCAAACAAATTATACACTGTGACCAAGTTGGTTTTATTCCAGGGTCTCAAGGTTTGTTCAATATACATAAATCTATAAATATAACACATCACATAAACAAAATAAAAAACAACGACCATGTGATTCTCTCAATTGATGCAGAAAAAGATTTTGATAATATCCAGCATCCTTTCATGATGAAAACACTTAAGAAAACAGGTATAGAAGGGACGTTTGTTAAACTGGTAGAGGCCATCTACAGCAAACCCACAGCCAATATCATATTGAATGGAGTAAAATTGAAAACATTTCCACTCAGATCAGATACCAGGTAACGTTGCCCATTGTTTCCACTGCTTTTTAACATTATAATGGAAGTCTTAGCCATTGCAATCAGGCAAGAGAAGGTGATCAAGGATATCCAAATAAGGTCAGAATAGATCAAACTTTCACTCTTCACAGATGGTATGATTGTATACCTGGAAAAACCCAGGACTCAACTACGAAACTCTTAGAAGTTATCAAGGAATACAGCAGCATCTCAGGATACAAAATCAATACTCACAGATCGGTAGCTTTTATATATACCAATAATAGTCAAGCCACAAAAACAGTCATGGATTCTATTTTACAGTAGTGCCAAAGAAGATGAAATATTTGGGAATTTACCTAACAAAGGACATGAAGGATCTCTATAAAGAGAGCTATGAAACTCTGAACAAAGAAATAGGTAAAGATGTTACTAAATGGAAAAACATACCATGCTTATGACTGGGAAAAATCAACATTGTTAAAATGTCCATACTACCCAAAGCAATATACAAATTTAGTGCAATCCATATTAAAACACCAGTAGTACTTCATTTTATATGGAATCAGAAAAAAAAACCTCGATTATCCAAGACATTACTCAGAAATAAAAACAAATCAGGAGAAATCATGCTACCAGACTTCAGACTATACTGTAAATCTATAGTGATCAAAACAGCATGGTACTGCACAAGAGTAGAGAGGTAGGTATATGGAACAGAATAGAGAACCAAGAGATGAACCCAGCTACTTATCATCATTTGATCTTTGATAAGCCTATCAAAAACATAAATTGGGGGGAAATTTTCCTATTTAACAAATGGTACTGGGTGAATTGGCTGGTGACTTGTAGAAGACTGAAACTAGACCCCCACCTTTCACCATTAACAAAAATTGACTCTCGCTGGATAAAAGATTGAAACTTTAGATATGAAACTTTAAAGATTCTTGGAGAGAGTACAGGGGAAACACTTAAGAAATTGGCCTCCTTATGAGGAGGACCTCCCAGGCAATTGAAGCAACACCAAATACACATTACTGGGATCTGATCAAACTAAAAAGCTTCTACACAGCCATGAACACAGTACATAAGCAAGCAGTCAGCCCTCAGAATGGGAGAGGATATTTGCAGGTTATGTTTCTGACAAAGGTTTGATAACTAGAATCCACAGAGAACTCAAACTTATTAACAAGAAAAGAACAAGTGATCCCATTTCATTGCTGGCAAGAAACTTGAACAGAAGCTTCTCCACAGAAGACAGGCACCTGCTCTACAGACACATGAAAAAATGCTCATCATCTTTAATCATCAGAGAAATGCAAATCAAAACTACTTTGAGATATCATCTAACTTCAGTAAGAATAGCCCACATAACAAAATCCCAAAACTACAGATGTTGACATGAATGTGGAGAAAAGGGAACACTTCTGGTGAGAATGCAAGCTAATATGTCCCTTCTGGAAAGAAGTTTGGAGAACACTTAGGGAGCTATAAGTAGACCTGCCATTCGATCCTGCAATTCCTCTACTAGGTGTATATCCAGACGACCAAAAATCACTTTACAACAAAGACATTTAGACAAGAACATTTATTGCAGCCCAATTCATAATAGCCAAGTCATGGAAGCAGCCCAAGTGCCCATCCATGAATGGATTAACAAACTGTGGTATATGTATATCATGGAATATTATGCACCTTTAAAAAGATGGAGACTTTACCTTTGATATTTACATGGATGGAACTGGATCATATTCTTCTTAGTAAAGTATCTCAAGAATGGAAAAAAAATACACAATGTACTCAATACTATTATAAAATCAATATATAATCACCCACAATTTCATATGAAAGATATAACACAATTATACCCCAGAAAGAAGGAGAGAAGAAGAGGGTGAGGGGCGGGGAGGGAGGGACAGGTGGAGGGAGGGAGATCAGTGGGACTTCACCTACTGTGCATATTGCAAGGGTACATGCCAAATATATTAATAGTAGAGTATAAATGTCTAAACACAACAATTAAATAAGTGAGATGAATGCTGTATTAACCAGTTTGATGTAAACATTCCAAATTGTATATAAAATCAGCACATTGTAACCCATAAATGCAGTAATGTGCAGTTATGATCTATTAAAAAATAAACTTTTTAAAGAAGTGGATGTTTACAAATGAGGACAGGAGATGTACGAACAGAAAGGGTTTCTTTGGCAGAAGGAAAGTGTGAGTTGTGGAACAGCAGGTGATTCACAGACTATCTTCAGTGAAAACAAATGTTTATAGGGCAGAATGACCAACAGTGCAGAGGATTCTGAATAAGTTAAAAGGCATCCACTTGATTCAGGCATCGTAATACTACTGTGCAGCCTGTGATAAGAAATTTCATTGCAATGTTGCTGACAAAAAAGTACAGACATTAAAGGAGTATGGAGTGTCCACTGGGTGTCCGTGCAGCTCGGGATGGGCCCGCGTGAATGAAGAGCCATGTTGGGGAACCCCGTCGCCCCATTATTCACATTCCCTGTGGTGTTCTTTCACAACTCGACACCCGTGCCCCCTGCAGGTATCACCACGGTGCTGACCATGACCACGCTGAGTACCATTGCCAGGACGTCCCTGCCGCGGGTGTCCTACGTGACCGCCATGGACCTGTTCGTGACAGTGTGCTTCCTCTTCGTGTTCGCCGCTCTGATGGAGTACGCTACCCTCAACTACTACTCCAGCTGCAGAAAACCGACCACCACCAAGAAGACTGCGTCAGTGAGTCGCAGCAGGGGGAGGCAGTGGGCAGGCGGTCTGAGATAAACGTGTGCTTAGATTCCCTTGTATTCCATAGAACCTTCTAAAACATCTAATTCAGCAAGACTTAAGAAGCCAGACCAGGATTCTGAAGGTGTGGGTGTGACCCTCCAGCACCCTCTCAGTGTCACCTGCCGGTGATGTGGATTAGTTTAGTCACACTTTAAAGTTCTGCACTTTAAAGATTGCTCTTAACTGGGGAACTCTGGACTGCAGATTTAATGGGGAATTTTCTAACTACGTTTTCTTTTTTTTTCTTGTAGTTATTACATCCAGATTCCTCAAGATGGATTCATGAGCGAATAAGCCTTCAAGCCCCCTCCGTATGTATAGCATTATAGGTGCCGGTATTTCTGAGAACCTTTGCTAGACCAGGAGTGCTTTTGAAAGATACCTGGCTGCTTATGCACGTATTTAAAGACCAAAGAGTAATGTGTGCACACCCTTAAAATATGTGCTTACTACTACTTAAGAAAATCCAACTTTGAGAATTGGGAAAATAGGGCAAAAAATTAACCATAGTCCTTGTAAATGGGGGTTAGTATATGGCATACAAATATATTCAAATATTTTTGTCCAGTTATTCATATATACTCAGGCATTTAGAAAAACTGAATTATGATCTATATATACTCAAAAATACGTACTTTGTTTTCTGTGCTTTAAATATTATTTTATACGATTATTTTAATGTTGCATGGCAGGCTCATGATTGATTTACAGGCAATCTTGGCAGGACACTGAGTTTATTTACACTGTTTCACTTTTATTCATATTCTTATCATGCCCTTTTGTAAACAGCTGTGACTATTTCCTTGGTTATAAATTCCTAGAAGCAGAAGGGCCAGCAAAGGGGCTGCAGAGTGTTCCATAAGTGGCTTTCCACCTGCTCTGTCAGCAGTACCTGACCCCTCTGACCCCCGCCCCCAGAACTACACTCACTCTGAGAGCCAAATCCTTGCAAATTTTCCCATTGGCTTTTTCTTTGATTATTGGTAAAGTTTAATATTTTCACTTGTTTATTTTTTATTTGCATTTCTACTTTTGCGAATTGCTTATGAATGCATTTTAACTTTCATTAGTGTTTTAAAGTAGAAATCTGCCAGTTACGGCTTTGTTATATATTCCATATGAGGCCTGATATTAAGTTTGTCACCAGATGGCCAAGGGGAAGAGTTCAAAGGTGGCTGGAGTGATGTCCACAGTCAGGTGTGCAGCACTTTTTCTGGGATGAGTTCTTTGAACTTAATTGTCCCACTTCGTATAGTATTCCATCGAACGTGTAATTTATACAGTCACATGTGGGATATAGTCACTTATCTGTCACAGGGTCTCTCTTCCAGCTCCCACTGGCAACATTGTCACTGCCCTTTCTTGGACCTTGTTGTGCATTTTATCATTTTAAGTTTGCAGGTGTCAGATCTGTCCGCCTTTTCTTTTGTGGTGTCTATTCTTGTTTGCTGCTTCTGAAGGTCCCCTCCACCTGCACGGTGCCCGCCTCCCTCCCTCCCTTTCCCCTGGTCACCGGCTTGGCAGCACATTCTAAGCACTTTCATACGCTCACTGGGATGCTCACAAACAACCTGCTCTACAGATGAGAGAGCTGAAGTACAAAGAAACAGCCTGGGACGCTGACCAGTGTTTGACAGTTTAAAAAACTATGTTGCATTTAATTATGATGCATCTGAATTTTAGTATATAGCTTGAGGTAAGAATCTAGCTCTATTTAAAAAATTGAGAACTGTGTGTTGAAATCACTGATGTGACCTACCACCTTTATCAGTAACAATTTATTTATACACCACACACAATCCTGACTTTTACTTCTTTATACATATCAGCTCGTTGATTATACCCGTGGGCACAGGAGGTTTCCTCACTGTCCATCAGTAGCTTATATTTGGTACATTTCTGGCCCACGTTGCTATGACGACTCCATAGTTACCTGCATTCACAAGGGTGGATCACAGTAGTTCCCACAGGTGGTCAGTGGACACACCACTTCACAGGTGTGGGAAGCCACAATGAACATACAGATTCTGCCAGGAGATGCTCCAGATAACAACATCAGACTGAGACAGAAGGAGAGACAGCACATTATCACACATAGCCAGGGGGCTGGATGTTGATGGAAAGACATATTGACACCCTGGGTCTAGAAATAATACTACCGAAAGAAAGGAAAAAAGTCCTTTAAGGGAAAGTTGAATGACCTTGAGGAAAGTACAGAGAGAATTAATTCACAGGCAGAAAGGGGGCCAGGAAGAGTTTGACTATAACCAAAGGAAAAGGCTGTTTTCTTAGGTGTCAGGTGAGAGCTGTCGACTCCACAGCTCTGTCGTGGAAGGCACTCCCTGCCCTGAGCTGGGTGCGGGGCCGCTGCTGCCAACAAGGAAAGGCAGGAGTGAGCAGCCTCCAAGCCACGAGGGGAAAGACGCCCAACAGTGTGGTCTGGGGCAGCTTGTCTCAGCTGCTGTCAAACAGCAGGCGGATGACCTCTGCGTGCTCCAGGAAGTGCACGGGGCAGTGTGGGCTGCCTCGTACACAGGCAAAGGAGGCCTGAGCCAGGGACCCAGCTGGCAAAAGGGGGCTTTGGGGAATCATTAAGTAAAGTCTCCACCTTGGGCACAGTTTATAATTTTCATAACTAATAAGAAGGGTACAGGTAAAGATGGACTTAAGCAATATAGAACATAGCTATTCTGAGCTTGACATCCTTAGTTCTGTTTCAATCTTATAAAATGAATTGATTTCATTTCAAAACAACGAGCTATAAAGACATAAACAGAACTCAGTTAAACTGTATCGAGTCTCCACATGTCTCAGGGGCCACGGGGCTTTCGTTCCCTGGATAAAGACATGAAGTGGAGGCTCTCTGCCCAGAAACATTGTTGCTTCTTGGCCTCTGCCCACCCCCTAGTCACCCGTTAGACCCCCAGGGAGCCGCCCCACTCCGCAGAGCCTTCTGCTGCTCAGTCCAAGGCCTCCCCTTCCTTTGAGCCTGCCTGCTTGGAATGGGTAGGCGTCTCCTCAGTCTCTGTCACCTCCAGTTCACCCTACATCACAAGAGGCCACAGGGCTGGAGAAGCGGGAGGATGAGTGTATGACTGGACACAGTCAAAACACACATAGGGACACATTTAATGCAACTAATTAGGTAAAGGCAGAGTTTCCCAACTGTCCCTTGCCAACAAGAGGCAGATTCCTCAAATGCAAAGTCAGGGATCTAGAGTTTCAGCAGCCCCCCTGCTGACATTTATACCCAGCCAGGGCTCAGAGTGTTAACCAGGAGAAGCAGCGTCACATTAGAGCCACAGGGACAGCAGGGCTTCCACGGTGCCTGTTCCCCAGAATAGCAGGGAAGACAGGATGGTACACAGCGATGTCCCACCAGCCATGGGAAGCCGAGCGGGGGAGCCCCGCGTGTGAGCAGTGCTCCATGAACCCCGGGGCTAGGCCCGTTGTCTGTGCTCCCACAGAATCCCACCATTTACAAGGATGCACAGGAAACCTGGGAGTAGTTAGTGACTCTGAGAGCCCCACAAGTCACCTCCTGTCCCTGGTTACAACTCCAAACACCTGTGAACATATCCAGGGAAATGGATCCAAAATGGATGCATGTCTCCTTGTTACAGTATTTTCTGGTAAAAATATAAGAGGGTCTCATGATGCTTTCTAATGAATTCCAAAGGGCCTCCTTCCCAGCCCTGTCCTGCCCATGTGCAGAGGGCCAGCTGGCCAGCTAAGAGATGGGTTTGTACGTCCACCTCTCTCTTGACATCAGACCCAGGGTTCCCACCCCCAGGCCTGTCTCGGGTCACCCAGCACAAACAAAACCAAAGCAGACGGGCAGGCCAGCCTTTTAGCACTCTCGCATTATTCAGTCAAACTTGGAAATGCATCCTCCTAGCAGAATTCAGTGTAGCGCATGGCACAGCTATTTGAGAGAGCTGATTGACAGGTCTATTTGCAGCCACTTCTCAAGGTCAGGATCGAGTCCTCGCATCCACGAGCAAATAGCAAGTTGTTCTGTCTCCTCTGTCTGCCCCACTCTGGCTTTTCCATGTCAAGAGGTGAGTGAGGGAAGTAGAAAGGGGACATTTCAGTCACACACAGCCTTCATTATCCTTTGGATGACAGTCAGGGTCCGAGCATCCACACTGAAAGCTCGCTTTTTACCCGAATTGCAGATTCTCCCCCTATTCCTGTACACCGTATCTTTTACTGCAGGGGTCCTCAAACTTTTTAAACAGGGGGCCAGTTCACTGTCCCTCAGACCATTGGAGGGCCGGACTGTGGGCTCCGGGACAAGTCGGCTGCTAAGCAGGACAGGCAGTGGCAGCAGAAACACCCAGCAGGCCGGATAAATGTCCTAGGCGGGCCGCATGTGTCCCGTGGGCTGTAGTTTGAGGACGCCTGTATACCATACTTATCTCTCCACACTTCCACGTGTGTGCTGTTTACCACTTAAGGACCCATGTGTTACCAATCAAGAGAAAAGTAGTTGGTGAGCTCCCACTTCCTGGGCACATTCTAAGGGCCCATGACACACCTCCTTTGGGTGGGACACAGCAGCAATTACCTAACAAATGCAAACATTGTAACCTAGTTGTAATCTGAAAAAAAAAAGAGAGAGAGAGAGAGAAGTCCTCAGAATAGGGCCCTGAAATGGCTAATACCCGTTAGAAAATATGCTCCACCTCCCTCACCGAGAATCTGGGAAACACAAGTTTTGAAACCACAGTGCAATTTCCCTTGCAGTAGCAGTGCAAGGATTGAAAAGACAGTCTGCAGTGCTGGGGAGGCGCGGCGGTGGGCAAGCCCATCCATCCGTGATCTGGGAGACGCCTGTCGCTCGATGGGCCGCGGCTGTTTTCACGGCCTACTGTGATGACACTGTATCCTTCTTTCTGTCTGCAGAACTATTCTCTCCTGGAAATGAGGCCACCGCCACCTGCAATGATCACTTTAAACAATTCCGTGTACTGGCAGGAATTTGAAGACACCTGTGTCTATGAATGTCTGGATGGCAAAGACTGTCAGAGCTTCTTCTGCTGCTATGAGGAGTGTAGATCGGGGTCTTGGAGGAAGGGGCGCGTCCACATAGACATCCTGGAGCTGGACTCCTACTCCCGAGTCTTCTTCCCCACGTCCTTCCTGCTCTTCAACCTGGTCTACTGGGTCGGATACCTGTATCTCTAAGGGCTGCTTCTCACGTGGCCTGAAGGGCACCGGGTTCACACGCCTGACCTGTCACCCCAGTCCAGTAGTGACCCATCGGGAGTAGCAAGGAGGGACACTGCTCAGTCTGTCTTCAGTTATGACTTACCTTCCAGCCGCACAGGAAGTACCTGCCAAATATTTCTATTATATATCTCACACACACACACACACACATACTCGTTGAGTTTTCAACTGGAATTCTTGTTAGTCCCTTACTGAATCTGTAGCTTGGTGATGTTGATGAATGGTTTCTGGATTTGGGAGTAGTCATTGATTTTACTTGCAAAGAAAAAGAAATCTGTGGAAGTTACAAGCCAGTAGCTGAGACGTGTTCAGGCCCCTGATGCTGGGTCTGAGCCCGGTGCCTGGCCGAGGCCCACACCTGCCGGCCTCAGCCCCACGCCCACACGGCTCTCAGCCCAGTGTGAACTATAGTGAGTCTCCGTCCCAGTTTCTTCTCTCCATGGGTTCTTTTGCTCCCGCACCACCATTGTTAGCTAGGACCCCGTCACCCACTAACTTCACCCCAGGCCTAAAAAGAGGGCCCTATGCTTTGCCCATAAGTTCCCTTTTGAGGAAAACATATGATTTTCAAAATGCTCATGTTACAGAGGTCAAAGATGTTGATTATCTCTGAACATTAGGAACTTAACCCAAACTACCCAGAGTCAACAGCGTTAGAACCTCAGATTCTCAGACTAGTTCCACAACATTCCACCTGAGGAGTTGTGTTTCACTAGACCAAGGCTCTAGCTCATATTATGCCATTAGGGGTTTAATAAGTGTCTTCATCTTGCAAAGAAAGGTATATATTCAGTATGCACAAGACTTTGTCTTGATAACATAGTCCAGACTCTGAAAGAAATGTAGATAAAATTTTAAAATTCCTTAGTAAGTATTCATTTTCCACTCAAGCCAACTTCAGATGCAAAAAAAAAAAAAAAAAATGGGTAATGGCTACCATTAATTATATATTTTGATGAATAAGAATTATTTTATACTTTGAAATACATAGCAAAATCCCAAAGGAAAAAATCCCCCTTAATCAATACTCTTTTGATATTTTTATAGCACAAAACCGATTTGCTTCTTGCTATTATTTCATTGTTATAACCAGATACTAGTACATACTTTCTGACTCTTTTGAAGCTTCTCGTTACCAATTGGGTAAAAAAGGTCCCACCAGCTAGTTAATAATGCTTTGGCATTGTTTGGTACCAGAATCTCTATGCTTCTTGTCTTTCTTATACAGAAAACTGAATTAATTTTATTGGAAACTGAGTTTTTTTTTTAATTATCTATTTTGTGTATACTGTTATTATCCAGAAAGTACTCATTTCATGCAGATTACTGGCTGTACACCAGACACAGAAGAGGAAGGGAGTGGACAGGACCAGAAAAATTGCTATTAGATCCATCTGTTTACTCTTATTCATATAGTCACATACCAAGTGTGAATGCAGAGGTGGAACTGTCTGACCACCCAGTTTTCAAGCATCCCGTCTGTACACTGTGAGACATTGAAGCCCATTGTTTCTCTTCCTGTCCTCTCTCTGCCTTTGGTTTGAGAGTTGCTACATACGCCACAAGCCAATTGACTTCGATTTAGCAAATTCAGCTTAAAAATAAAATAATGTTTGCGAGGAAATAGGTTGAAAATATTGGTTTAAATGAAATTTCTCCTCTACTGGAGGATGCCCTGTGCCAGTATCCGAGCTGTGTCTCTCCTGCATTAACAAGACCGCCCAGCCTTGGCAGGGGTCCTCTGGAGACCTGGGGCTGAGGGGCACCTGCCCACCACAGCACTGGCCCAGAGGGCAGGGGCCCAGGGGCAGTCACAACTTCTAACTTTATGAATTTATACCTGCTTTCTCCTAATACAAAAAATTTCAACCTGCTAAACTTCAAAAGAAGTTCTAGAAAGAAGTGCATTTTGTAGCAAAATTCTCTTGGGAGGAAAACAACCTAAAAGAATTATTATAACACAGATTTGGTCCAGTTTTACCTTATATACAATTTTACTGATTCCCCTTGTTTCAAAACCACTCAATCTGCAGGTGTTAGAGGCTCTCATGAAACCACATGAAGGGTCTGTGTGCCCATGACGTCTGTTTTCTGATCCAGCCATTCCCTTCTCCCAGGTTCAGCTGGCCTCCTGATCAAAACACAGTAGCCCCTCATTCCTTGTCCATTAAGCAGAAAATCTAACAGATGTTCACTAATAGAGCACAAGCTAGATTCCTGCATATATAGTGATCTACCCGTTATGGGGTCTGAGGGAACAGTACTCAGACATCTCCAGAGAGCATACCAATGCCTCTCTCTCTCTCTCTGTAGGCTGACATGATTCAAATTTTCCATATCAGTCTCAACTCCTGAGAGGAGCCTTTTCAGCCCACAGTGCCAGAGATATGTACGTGTGCACCTCTGAAGTGCAGAGCCCAGGCGCTTTTAAAGACTGTGCACGTATTTACTCCTCTGTGCTTGCTTTTGGGAGTAAGGAGGAGGAGTGGCTGAGGAGAGAGTGAGGGAAGTGCACCCTTTTTAATTGAATGGCGCTCCTTTGCCATCGTGCTTGATTATGATGGATGCAGGCAGGTGGGTGTGCTAAGCCCCGCCTCACATGCATGCAGGTCTGGGACATGCTTTTGGTGCAGGTTTGTCTGAGTGTCCTGCCTTCCAGAGGTGCTCCTGTGTTCCTCACTCTCAAACATAATTCTAAATTGAGGAGATGACTGTTCTGTATTTTGACAAGGATGCCAAATTTCTGACAACTGTGGATCATACTAAAGCTGTGACTGTCTCTCTTGTAAGCTGCATGCTGGGTGAGAGAAAGAGAAGAAAAGGCATTTTACATCAATGGACTTAGAGCAAAATGCCTCCTCAGAGCCTAGAAAGTTTGAGCTTCTGCACAGTCTCAATACCACCTACCAGAACAGACTACTCATGCTGGACAAAGGAGGACAGTGTTAACATTAATGTGATTGACTCTGGGCCCAGCCAACACTGCCCCCAGTTTACCCCAAATATGCCTTAAAATGAAACACAAAACTCACATAATCCACGTCTTGTAACGTTGATTACATTAAGATTTTCCATTTCCTGCAATCGGCCCTATTTCATGCCAAGTTTTATCCTTTATGAAAAGACAGAAATAGGATCTTATTTCTTTCTACACCAAAGGTCTTATCCTTAATTCTGCATCCTATCAGTCAAGTAGAATGTTTCTGCACATTCTGCAACTGAGGAAATGCTTTTCCTGAATAGCGAGGCATTTTCACACTCTGTAGGGAAGTCAGGCCAGTGCAAAGTCTCCCCATAGACCCATCACAGCAAACCTCTCTGCCTGGCGGTGGCCAGCTGCAGGGAAAGCCGAGTTTATGGCCGCCTTGTCCTGCTGCTCTGCAGATCACTAGGATCTTGAAGCAACAGCACAGGGGCCGATAAGCCGGTTTTCACTGAGTGCTGGGCTCTGCCAGGAAGTCAGGGGCCACTTTCCCCAAAGGGCTAGAACACAAAGCAAACAAAACCTCTTCTTCCATGATCTTTGTTATCCCAGCTGCTAGACTGGAAATTTTCTGTGATTTCCTTTGAGACTTAAAGTATCATAACTTGTCTCCAACCATGACACTTTGTATCAATTCGATGCTCTCCAGGTACACAGCACTTTGAAGTCCTTTATGATTTTGCAGCTGTTTCTGAGTGCTTGTTTATGAAAGTTTTTAAAACTGTGTACATATAAAATTTCACTTTCAATTTCTGTTAAAAAAAAAAGAAAGTAGTAAACGATTCCAGGCAAACTAAACACAATCCCTTGTAAATATGCCCTGAGGTGTGAAGCTCCATTTGTGCTAAAACCTTCTCCATCCTGGGCTTTAGGACACTATCATTAAAAAAAAAATTCAGAAAAGTATCTGGAAATAGGGGGGAAAGAACCAGATTGTGAATACATTCTAAAAGTTAAATTTGCCATTTTCTGCTGAGCCCCCTACATATTGCCCAAAGTTGAGAGAGTGTGTTACATTTTTTTTTCTCAAGTTGAACTGGAGAAAACATTGAAGTTCAAGCAGTTTAGCAGTGTCTCGGTTTTTATGTCCTCCATACAATCACATTCAAAGGGCAAAAAAGCAGCAGGCCCCGCCTCCAATCCCTTAATTGACTTTTTTTTATTATATATATAAAAAATAGGTCTTCACCATTGTAAGAAGAAAACATGTATGTCTGGAGATGATAGGATAACATCTTAGCCATTCATTATTTCTGGAGGATTAAAAACTTGGCTTTCTTTTCTTTTTAATGCCTGACAGTTTTAAAGACTAGAGATTAGGCCACTTCCATTCCTTTTAAAATTTCTTTGGATTAAAAGCTAGCGATTCCAGGACATAACCCTGGGCTGGTTCTCTCAAGGTAAAAAGGGAGACTGTTTCCTTTTATTTATTTATTCTCCAGATGTCCTATGGATGAAGGATGCTTTGGTTTTTAACACTGTCAACAAAACCCCCTAAACCTCTAATATACTCTGGTTGTAGAAAAGCCAATTTTAGACCAATTTCTAGAAATCAGTGCTAAAAAATTAGTTGAATAATCAGTCATTAGCAAGTTTTCCATGTTTTGAGTTAACCAAGTGGCTTTCCAGATAACATGATACAGGAACATGAGCTAGGCAGAAAAGACACACAGTCAAACACACACACAGCACAGGCAACAGAAACGCTGGGTGGAGCGTCAGGTCACTGAGGCAAACAGATGATGGCTCTGCCTGGAACATTCAGACAACTGCCTACTTTCCCTCTCCACTCGTCACATCTGTAAATGTGAGCTGGGTTTTTCCAGCCCAGTGAGCAGCTGCAGAATGAGAGGAGGTAACGCTTCGGGGAAGGAAGGTCCTCTAGCTCAGCAGAACAGTTTACACTGAACTGGCTGGAAAGAACCCCAATTGCCAACAATGAAATCCCCCAGATGGAACAGACAACAACCAT